TTTTTTTTAATATAATATTTATTGGTTTTACAAAAATTCCAAAACATACAAAAAATACAGGTTTTCAAAAACAAAAAACAACAATAACAGTAACAAAAGGAAAACAAAAAATAACAATAAAACAGAAAAATTTAAAAATTTATAATTTCATTTAACCTTCTAATCTTTCCTTGGTTCTTTGACTTCCCCGCACCTCCCCACTTGTATTTCCTTTTAGAAACTCCTTTCAGCAAATCCTTACCCTCCTTCCTTTATCTTAACTCAAGAAGCTTAATCTATTTATATATAGGTATTTTTACAACCTTATCAAACAAATATTCCATACTCTTAAACGCGAGGCTTTTGCCAATACCAGTTATTTTCAATCAGACCTCAATTTAACATTCATTAATTTTATAGTATTTCTGTAGATAGTCTTTAAATTTCTTCCAATCTTCTTCCACCGACTCTTCTCCCTGGTCCCGGATTCTGCCAGTCATTTCCGCCAATTCCATATATTCGATTACCTTCATCTGCCATTCTTCCAGAGTGGGTAAGTCTTGTGTCTTCCAATACTTTGCGATAAGTATCCTTGCTGCTGCTGTTGCATACATAAAGAAAGTTCTATCCTTCTTTGGCACCAATTGGCCAACAATGCCCAGGAGAAAGGCCTCTGGTTTCTTTAAGAAGGTATACTTAAATACCTTTTTCAACTCATTATATATCCTTTCCCAGAAAGCCTTAATCTTTGGGCACGTCCACCAAAGGTGAAAGAATGTACCTTCAGTTTCTTTACATTTCCAACATTTATTATCGGGCAAATGATAGATTTTTGCAAGCTTGACTGGGGTCATGTACCACCTGTATATCATTTTCATAATATTCTCTCTTAAGGCATTACATGCCGTAAACTTCATACCCGTGGTCCATAACCGTTCCCAGTCAGCAAACATAATGTTATGTCCAACATCCTGTGCCCATTTAATCATAGCAGATTTTACCATTTCATCCTGAGTATTCCATTTTAGCAGCAAGTTATACATTCTTGAAAGTGTTTTAGTTTTGGAATCTAACAGTTCTGTTTCCAACTTTGATTTTTCCACCTGGAAGCCAATTTTTCTATCCAAATTATAAACCTCTCTTATTTGGTAATAATGCAACCAGTCTCGCACTCTATCTTTTAGTTTTTCAAAGCTCTGCAATTTAAGTTTATCTCCTTCTTGTTCCAAAATCTCCCAATATTTTGGCCACTTGGCCTCCATATTGGACTTTTTCAGGGCCTTTGCCTCCATTGGTGATAGCCACCTTGGGGTTTTATTCTCCAATAAGTCTTTATATCTTATCCAGACATTAAACAATGCTTTCCTGACAATATGGTTTTTAAATATTTTGTGAGCTTTAACCTTGTCATACCACAAATATGCATGCCACCCAAACACATTATTGAAACCTTCTAAGTCCAAAACATCAGTATTTTCCAGAAGTAACCAATCCTTCAACCAGCAGAAAGCTGCCGATTCATAATAAAGTTTAAAGTCTGGCAGGGCAAATCCCCCCTCTTTCTTTAGCATCAGTCAATATTTTAAATTTTATCCTGGGCCTCTTGCCCTGCCAGACAAACTTAGAGATATCTCTCTGCCACTTCTTAAAACAATCCATTTTGTCTATTATTTGTATCGATTGGAACAAAAACAGCATTCTTGGCAATACATTCATCTTGATGACAGCAATTCGACCTAACAAGGAAAGCTTCAAATTTGTCCATATTTCTAAATCCTTTTTAATGTCCGACCAACACTTTTCATAATTGTCTTTAAATAAATTCCCATTTTTAGCTGTCATATGAATCCCCAAGTATTTCACTTTTCTTACCACTGTTAAACCTGTCTCATTCTGAAACCTCTCTTTTTCAATCGGTGTTAAATTCTTCTCAAGTACTTTAGTTTTAAACTTATTCAGCTTAAAGCCTGCCACCTGACCAAACTCTTGAATCAGTTCTAATGCTCTTTTCGTACTAGATTCTGGCTCCTGTAATGTCAATACAAGGTCATCTGCAAATGCTTTCAGTTTGTATTGTTTCGCTCCGACCGCTATCCCCTTAATCAAATGGTCCCTTCTTATCATATTTAACAAAACCTCCAGGACAGAAATAAAAAGTAATGGGGAAATTGGGCAGCCTTGTCGTGTCCCTTTCTCTATCTTAATTTCCTCTGTTATCACATTATTAACTATTAATTTAGCTTTTTGTTCTGAATAAATTGCGTTTATACCGTTTTCAAACTCTTGGCCTACCCCCATCCCCTGGAGATTTTTCTTCATAAAGCTCCAAGAAATGTTATCAAAGGCTTTCTCTGCGTCCACAAAAATCAAAACTGCTTTAGTATTAATCTCCTCTTGCAGCTTCTCCAGAATATCAATTATATTCCTTGTATTGTCCGAAAGATGTCTATCTGGAAGAAAGCCAGCTTGGTCCTTATGAATCACTCCTTTTAGCACTTTTTTAAGCCTTTTTGCTAAGATATCAGCAAAAATTTTGTAATCCACATTTAACAGGGATATGGGCCGATAGTTCTTAAGCTGTGTCTTTTCAGTCTCAGACTTTGGTATAAGTGTAATAAATGCGTCTTTCCACGACTCTGGCGCTCTTTTCCCCTCTAAAATTTCATTACAAACCTCAGTTAATGGTCGAATTAGCCAGTCTTTCAAAGTTCTGTAATATTTTGAGGTTAAACCGTCCGGTCCTGGAGATTTTCCCAACTGCATATTCTGAATGGCACCTTCAACCTCCTGTTCTGTAATTTTATAATTCAGCAATATCTTGTTATCCTGAGAGATTTTTTGTAATCCATTGGTTTTCAGAAATTGCTCTATTTCAAATTCTTTCTGAGGCCCTTGTGTGTATAATTGTTTAAAATATCTCTGGAAGCATTTCCTAATTTCTTCTGGATTCTGGATATTTTCCCTTCCACTTCCAAATTAGTAATAGTATTAAGTTTTTGTCGTTTCTTCAACTGCCAAGCCAGCAGTTTCCCACATTTATTTGCCGATTCAAAAGTCTTTTGTCTCATTTGTTTAATTTTCCATTCCACTTCTTGATTTATCAATTTCATATACTGCACTTGGTGCAATTTTATTTCCCTCAGAATCTCTTGTGAATTGGGCTTCACTCTCAGTTTCTTCTCGCCCTCCTTTATTTTTTCCAGAATTTTTTCTTTCTTTACATTTTGGGCCCTCTTCTTAAATGAATTCTGTTGAATCAGGAAGCCCCTCATAACAGCTTTACTTGCATCCCAGATTATTCTTTTTTCTACAGCTGTATTCAAGTTTATCTCAAAATAGTCTCTCAATGTCTTTTGGGCCTTCTTAATCACCTCTTGATCTCTAAACAAGGTGTCATTCATCCTCCATCGGAAGGAACCAGTAGATGTTAACTTCATCTCCATTCTCACGGCGTTATGGTCGGAGCATGTTTTTGGACAGATCTCTACCTTCCTAACCTTAGGTGCCAGTCCTCTAGTAGTCCAGATTTGGTCAATTCTTGTCCATGTCTTTTGGGCTTCAGAAAAAAAGGTTCCTTCTCTATCAAGGGGATTCCTAGTTCTCCAGATGTCAATCAAGTCCATATTGTCAGTTAATTCAAAAAATGTTTTCGGTAGTCTACCGTCTTTAGTGACTACCTCTCTTTGTGACTTGTCCATATTTGTGGAAACCACCCCATTCATATCTCCCATGAAAACAGTGTTATAGTCCATATAGTCCATCAAGATCTCATGCAACTTTTTGTAAAATATAGATTTCCCCTCATTTGGAGCATATAAGCCTACTATCAAAAATTTTTCTCCTTGTGCTTGAATTTCAATTGCTATAAATCTTCCTTGTTCATCCTTAAAAACGAATTTTGGTGAGAGGCTCTCCTTTGCATAAATGACCACTCCTCGTTTTTTAACTTTATCTGATGAAATAAATTCTTGACCCAATCTCTTATTGATCAGTATTTTCCTATGGAGCCTCGTCACATGAGTTTCCTGTAGGCAGATTAAGTCCAATTGTTCTTTTTTAAGTATATGGAATACTTTCCTCCTTTTTTTTCCGGAGAATTTAGACCACAAACATTCCAAGTTAAAAGTTGCAGAGCCATGATGGTTTCTTTATTTTCCTCCAACTGCTCCCAGTAACTCTTCTTCCTCTGTTGGTGGTTTCACCTTCTCTGTCTTATCCTCTCCCAACGGTGGTAATGTAAGATCCAATCCTGGTAAAGGGGCTTTTGGCTCTTCCCCCGATCCTTTTTGTAAGTCCTCTTGATAGTCTCTCAAAAAGTTCTGTTTCTCCTCCACAGATTTTATTTTAATTTTCTTGCCTTTAAAACTGAAAGATAGGCCTTGAGGAAATTCCCACCTGAAAAAAATTCTGTTTCCTCTCAGCAGCGTCACCAGGTCCCGGTAGTTAGACCTAAGCTCCAAAAGGAGCTTTGGAATGTCTTTAAATATTTCTATCCTTGAGTCTTGTATTATCAGTGTATTTCGGTAGTGTAAACTCAAAATTTTATCTCGTTCCTCCTTAGATCGCAAGGTAATCAGGCAGTCTCTCACTCTGTTCTTTCTTGCTCCTCTTCCAAGCCTGAAAGCAGACGTTATCTTGAAGTCTTCCTTATCATTCAATTGCCAAAAATTGGCAAATTCTTGTGTCAAAAAGTCTACCAGGCTCTCTTTCTCAATCTCAGGTACTGCTCTGATCCTTAAATTGGTCTGTTTCTCCTTTAGCTCAAGGACAGATAGCAATTCCTGGTGCGTTCCCAATCTCGTGTGGTGCTCTTCAACTTGTTTAATTAAAGGTGGTAATTTTTCTTCAGCAGCTACCGCCTTTTCTCTAGCTTCCAAAGCTGTTTTTTGAGTTTCAGCAGATTGTTCCAGTAATTTTTTAATCACATCTGTATTTTCATTAGTCTGTCGAGTCAGCTTATCAATACTTGCTGAGTTTTGTCTAATAGCTTCTAGTGCCTCGGCATTCTGTTGGCCCAGTTTTTCAAAACCTTCATTCACAATTTTAAATAAACTAGCAAGTCCTTCTTCCTCTCCTTGTGGCCCAGCAATGGATGGCCTACGCTGTTGCTGTTGAGCAATGTTGCTCTGCTGCCTGCCTTTCCCGGACCTCAAGTTTCTTTCCTCCATAGCACTTTATCTAGAAGTCAAGGTCACTCTCACAGCTGGAGTTGTTTTGCTGTTAAGCTTTCCCAGGCTGCTGTTGGGTGGAAAATTCCTCAGTCAATTGAAGACTTTTTCCCCTTTGGCCTCCAGGGGGACACAAGTAATGAAGTATCAAAAACTCTCAAAAACTTATTATTATTATTTTTTTGTTTGTTTGTTTAAACCCCTTCAGCCAAAGAGGCAACTTTTTTCCCCAAAGTTTCAATATTGTGAAGTTAATAGGCAAGAAAATACATTGTCCATTTAGAGTGCTAACAAAGTATCCAATCTTTCCAAACCTGGCAGTCTGTCTCCAGGGATTGAGAGGTGGTCTTCGTTTCCTTATTGCTCTTTTTAAATTACAAAAAAATAACCAGAAATAACAAGAAATACTATCTCTTCTTCCCCCCCTTCTCCAATTATGGGAGGGAAGGTTTTTAAATTTGACGTCTGTGATTCAGTCTCTTTTGACAGTCTTTGGTATCGAACTCACACAGTCTTTGCTTTACTCCTTTATACAAACCGGGAGGTGGACTTCCTTTTTACACCTTCCCGCTTCAGCCAAATTAGTTCAAAAATTTTGTTGGTCCTTCTAAAACGTCAAACCTACTCACGGGTTGTAGTTTGACAGCCGAATTGTCAAGGAAGAAAGGTCAGCGCTCTCCAGCAACAGCCGCACGGCTTCACTCCGCGAAAGTAGCAGAAGACTCACAGTGCCGCGCCACCCCCGTCCTGCTTCGGAGCCCTCGCGGGGTTCCTTTGCGGTTTAGGGCGCGCTCCAGGCACCCGCCGAGTCCCACGACCGCAGGCTTCCTCCGCCTGCGGGTTTCAAAAGGGTCTCCGCTGCGCCGTAGCGGATCGACCCGGTTTTCGCGGAGTCTCTCCTCCGAACTTACGAGGAGATCGCCATTGCTTGTTGGCGCCGCCTCCGGAAGTCCTAAATGTATTTTGCTTTCTATAGCTTTGTCTGTATTTGAACATATAATATTGATGCCAACATGTGTATCAAGGGACTAGTTCCTCATATATACACGGCTTTCCTTTCTCAATTATCCCCTACAATAACAGGTTTGAAGTCAGTATGGGAACAGGACCTGGGGGAGGA